CAAGCACAGACCTGCACGGGATGGTACGACCTTGGTACACGGCGTACACGGCTAAGTCAATAAACTGGGTGACGCAACTCACTAGCGCGTTGGATCGACGGAGAGCACCGATACTCGGCACGCTCTACCGTACTCTCTCGCTCGCACACCTCCCTCCCATAGACCACTGATATTCCTCGACATGCGTCAACACCGAGGGAGAGCACTGATACCGCGGCTCGCTCTACCGCTCTCGCTCGCACGCCGTGACGTCATTCGATTCCCGGAATCCCGCGGCCACGAGATGGCTGATTATGGTGTCTTCCCGCAAGGGAAATTCTCGGAAACGGTTCAAGATTAGAAACTAAAATTTTACACTATTTAGTTTCTTGTGGTTATCAACAAATGTTGCAAATTCGAAAAAAATCGGTCATTAAGATCGCAGTTCTGTTCGTTTCGACGTGGAATGGTTCGTTAATTCTCGTTTTCAGGATGCTACAAATATATGCAATATACATATATCAGAATTATTAGTAATAAAATGAAAATAAACCTCCGAAGTGTTCCATACCGATTTCACCAAGCTTGTGCAGGTTCGGGGTCGGATTTGTCGGAATTTGTGTTCGCGTACAAAAAACTAATTACTTTTAATATGCTATTCCGAACACGTATATCTATGTATTGTCCCATAAATTTAAACAAACAATATATTTTTTAATTTACAATGACAAATATATTCATTATATACGAAAATCTATTATTTTTTATTTTGCATTATTATTTTAAATAACCAAATATTTGGCAAATAAATCATCAAGACTAACAATAACAATTCATTCAACACCTGTGTATGACAAAATGATCACGTAGTTCGTTTCAAAATTGACTGCAGATAAAAAAATGTTCCATAATGTCAATAATATTGATTTCCCCGCAACATCCATAATTATTACAAACGTCAATATAATGAAATATCTTTTATACGATGTTTGTGGTGTAATATAAATCTGTGTTTCGATTACGTTTTTGATACGTATTACTCACTTATATGTAATAATATAGAATAAAAATATACTTTTACTCCGATATTTAAAAATATACATGCGTTCATTGTCACTGTTAAACAGTTGTAATAACAATGGAATAATAAAATAATTTACTTAAATGTACATAATAATACATATACATATTCATAGAAACAATATTAAACGCAATAAGTTTTTTGTACGCAAAAAAAAACCAGACTAGTTGAGCTCGAATGGATTTAACATAGTTCACAAACCGTTCTCATAACGTAGAGGGCAGCAGAAAATCCCTCACTTTTTACACTATCGGTATTTCAGAACATGAGCCACGAAGTCCCATAAGATGATAGGTCTATCCTATACCTAGTCGGTGCTATTATGCCAGAATTGGCCCCTTGGTGCAATACTTGCCCGGTAACAACGAATTCCTGGCCGTGAGCACTCTCATTTCCTCTCTCATATTATATATGTACATAGTCACATGTCACATGGTCCCAGTTGGTCCCAAAGTAAGAATTAATCGAATCCAATCGAATCAAAGCAAGTATATAAATCCTTGAGTTTTTGTAAGTGACTGTCAGATATACGTGTGAAAATGTTGTCGAAGCACAGAGGTGCAATTTCCGTTTTCGGAAAATATATGCAGGTAGTGTTTTAATATTATTTGATTTCCCAAGTGTTTCTGGTTCAAGCAAATCTTTATTTTTTTCAGAATAATCTGCCTTTGATGTTAAGCCCTATCAACTGTCCATGCAACAATTTTCAACAAGTCAGAAACATAAGAAAACATTGGAACCCAAAGTTTCGTAAAGAAAGGGCAGCAAAGGTTATTAAAGAGCATTACGATATGAAGTATAAATTTGAGGAATTGTTGCCACAGGATTATATAAGGACAAGGATGAAAGATTTGGGACTCGTACCACAAAGAAAATGGAAAGAGAGACCAATTTTTTTTCATTCTACCCCTACTATATTTGAATCATATGTTGTGCCTGAAGGTGATGGAAAATTTTCTACCATTACTAAAGAGGTACATAAATACTAGCGTATCATTATTATTAAACACTGGATTAATATTACTATTAAATTGGTGCACATGAAATGCAACTTTTATCGATTAATATCTGTAGTTGTGTAGTACTTCTATGAATGAAAATCATTATTACTATTAATTAAAACTACAATTAATACTATCTCCTAATATTAGTTGTAAATTTTTGAAATTTACTTTCAAGAATTCGTTTCTTGTAATAATGGTAGACATATATAGTCATTTTTTGTTAGGGAAGATAGATACATTTATTTTGATGTTTCATACGTCAATATCACACTTTATTGTAATATGCAAATCCTGAAGAAGTGTTTTGTATTCATTGTCTAGGGAGCAAAACAAAAGATGGAATTTATGGAGAAAAAGAGTAAATCTTATCTAGCCATTAGGAAAATCAAGTCATATGATGAGAATTTTACAGTAAAGCAATTCTGCGAGGACTCGTTAGATATTTATAAAAAGGCCCATGAAGCTTTAGTCGCGTGAGTCTATTCATACATAGTACAATAATGTATTATGTATGAATTACACATCGAGTAACATAATAAATTTCTATATTTTCAGTAAAGATGAAAATGAATTACTACAACACATTACAGAGACCCTGTATCCTGTAAGTTTTATATTGTAATTTAATTCAGTATAGTATTGTCATTCTGTGTTAGGAATATATTAACGAATTTTTGTATAATTTTAGAAAATTATGCATAACGTGGAGGATAAAACAATCATATGGAAGTTCTTAGAATCTCTGGAACCAGCACGTGTGGTACACGCAAGGTGTACAAGTTTACTTACAAAGGGAAATATATATGCACAAGCTACAGTTCGTTTTCACACTCAACAGGTTTGATATGACAAACAATTTACTTTTGCCGTACAATGTGTGCATTATTACTGTATTATTCCATACAAGATTTATTTTTCAGATTTTGTGCATTTACGATAGATTTGGGCGGTTATTACAGGGTAGTGAGATATTAAAAAAAGATGTTCTAGATTATATAGTGTTTGAGAAGCATTTGTCGAATGAGTATGGAACTTGGCGAATGCACGGAAAGATTGTACCAAGCTGGATGCCACTAGGAGATGTAGCAGCGAAAACGTTTGTGTTACCAAAGAGTGATGATACCTCACCTGAAAGTGCCGCTGAGTCAATTGCCGAGACAGTCCCTCCTGAGGTTCTAGATGCAAGGAATCTGAAAGATGCAACAGCTGAGGAGAAATGAGTACATGTCAAGTAAATATACAATTAATGTAACCTTTATTATTGGTCTTTTTTTAATAAAGTGTTAGAGAAATAACTTAAACGTAATATCATGTTATTTGTTAAGGCGGAACGTTACATTTTCAATTATGAGAATTATGCAAGATATTAGCAGTCCACCGAAAAATATCGATAGAGCTAAATATATCTGTTCCATCATAATTGGCTCGAAAGGGTTCGTTCTGTAATTTTCAACGTTTTTCGAGTCAATCCAACGTTGCTTCAACAACCGTATGAAACCGTGTTCATATAATCTCAGTAATCTATGGGATATAAATACTATGAATCTCCAGTGATATACATTAATGAATTTTAAAGATTATAATGTTAAATAATTCAGATGGAGGATTGAACTACAACGTATTCATCATGGTACATTAAAATTGGTTAAATACACTAGGTTACACTGATTCACTCGCAGTCAGAATTATACATATATTAATTATAGTTACGTGGTTCTTTACCCGATGTCGATAGATCGTTTATGCTTGAAGTGCCACGAGATCCCTGAAATTATAATACTTTTGTAGATAACTTCTCCTGCTTGAGTGAGTGGACAGAAATGCTCCCCAAAACATTTTTTCATATCGGTGGATATAATTGTTGCAATTAATTTGTGACGTGCGCATCCCTCTTGAAATACTTCGGTTACAGTATTCTTATCGTAATATCGATTCATACGACGTATTTTTACGTTTATGGGTTCCTGGCCGGTCTACAAATAAAATCCGAGCAAAAGTTAATGTGAAATAATTTGATACTTTTCTCGTCATTCAAAGTAATCGAAATTGAATATTTAATCTGCATCAAGTACTTCTATTCGACTTTGGTATTCCATAGTGTACCTGGATATTTATACTTGGCAATGAACCCTTCACAGCAACAATCTTGTACGATGTATGATCCAATAAAGTCGGTATGTTGTCGACAGGTAGCACGTTGAATACTTTTGTCATGTAACCAATTACAAGCGAGTTGTAGGCCGTCCGAAATAATAATGAAAACATACCCAATACTAATTCGATCAGCTTCGAACTTTTACCCGAACTGGTTAGAAAGTAGCCTGGAAAAATCGGTAATTCTTCTTGATCGCTGTTGTGTCTCGATAGTAATCTCAATAGGGCAGATGTAAAAGTATTGTTTTGCTATTGAAAATTCTATCACGCGATATGTACTCGAAAAAGATGGACGAATTTCTGAAATGTTTTCGACGGTAACGATTTCGTTCCGCACCAGCTTGAAAATCGAAGCTATGAATGTATCGTCATATTTAATGACTTACGCTTCGTTGTTCGTTCTTACTCTGATCGCAAATCGTGCCGAAGTTGTAGAAAAAATGATCTGTCAGTCTTGCCACCGGTTTTTGCCGCATGATTGTTGCGTGGATCACGTGAGACATGTAGTTGCAGATGGTTAACAGGATATAAGTCACCAAGCCCGCGTACCAGACCTTCGGGGATAATAGCTTTAGCATCCAAGTGGTCAGGTGATGCACTTCTGGTCGTATATACAAGTAATATCTGAACAAAAATTCAGATCTTGGATGAAAATGTTAAAATATAAGATGTAACAGGCTATTGAATTATATGAAACTAGTAATGTTTTCATAAATACATTTTGAAATCTTTTCATAAGTATATACAACTTTTCTTTTTTTTTTTTTTATAAGAGGAGGGGAAAATGCATTTCCGCATACCCAGGTGTTCGCGGGTTATGTGGGGCTCACGAACATGGAGTACCCACTAAAAATCCCTCCTCTGTCCGCGTCTTGCGGTATTGACCCTCCCCGAATATCGGTACTTAGCCGTAGGAAATTACTTCGATACCGTGGAGGTCAGTATCAGCCGAGGTCTACATACTTGTATCCGTCTTCTTTCTTCTGTCTTTTTTCATTCTTCATTCTAATACTCCGGTCTTCCAAATATTTCATCTTCTATCCTCTTCTATCTTCGTTCTATTTCCTTTCCATCTACTAGTTTTCATTCCATATCCTAGCTTGTTCGGGAAATTTCCCTCATCGTATAGTGTTTCTAATTTCGCACTGCTTTGGTACAGTTTAGAAGCCCTTATTTATCTTGGTACCCTTTATAATTTCTAAGTTCTAGTACATGCTACAGTTCTTATATCTAACACCTTGTGTATAGCCTTATATATCAATAGTTTTTAGCGTAAAATAAATATATAGATAAATAAACAGTATAGTTAAAATAAATAATTTAGAATTATTAACAGGTAAGATAACTGGGATCAGTATAAATAAAAAAAAGATAAATACGTAAAAAGAATAAATAGTTCAGATAAATAAAAGTACATTATTATTATTATTATTATTATCTGTAAAAGCTTGGTGTTGTGTCAGTTATTCGTATTATATATTAATTTAATTTGTATATAGTTTATACAACAACTGGATCTTAATAAACGTTTCTTTTTCTTTTAAAGTGAGTGTCGATCGATCAGAGGATCGTTTTTAACGATCGAAAATCTACAAAATTAAGTTGTGTGCAACTTGCCTGGCGATCCACAAGGGTAGCGTAAATTGGGCGGCCGCAAGTCGATCGATTTGCCCGTCCAACCTTGGTATGACGTCTATTTCATTTAGATGGATTTTCTTTAATAAACCGGGCGTGTAAGAGCCGTTCGGCAACGCACTGCCCAAGTTCCGTTCCGTGACCACTGTCGGTCTCAATCTGGAATATTATGATTGCGACTGAAGGTCCTATCAGTTTTTGTCTTTCTAATATTTCTAACTGTATGTGAGCGATATTACGTGAAGTTCAGAAATTCACTCAAAAGATGCCAAATATCGCCTATTGCGCCGGTCAATCTGGTTCCGTTGTTTTTGCTTTCGAGGGATCTGGGTATCTGTGAAAAACGTGAGATCGTTGAGAAGAAAAACTTATTCTTTACATGCCAAGGATATAATTTATGAAGATTTGGGCCCTGTTTACGCACGACGGGTTCTCGCAAACGAATCTTGTCGAGGTAAATTTATTTCGGAAAAAAAGGGGTTTCGAAATCTTCCTCGTAGAATTCTGTCTTTCCTTAGATAGACAGCTAGCGAATTCTCAAATCAGTTATAGGAGGAATTAAGCAAAATTGAAAATTACAAAAAACAGTTTTCAAGAAAAGGATGTACTGATAAATACCCAAAGATTTTGCATCGGATATTGGAAGTTTGAAAATAAAGAAAACGATTGATTTGGCAATTGTACCTCAAAATAAGACATTTTAATCGGTGCCCCTTGAAAATTGTGGAGCTCCTTTTCCCGAATTCGACTCATGCGTTCCTGAATCACGTACGCGAATTCGGGAACGTTGACGATCGGCACGAAATCGTCCAGTTTCTTGTCCCATATCACACCGTGGAACGATTGCACAGGCATCAACGCCTGGTGAATCACTACGAACAGCAGTAGATGCCTCATAAAGCAAAGATCCTTCGTGTTTTCGGGGAGGAAGAGTGTTATTCGCCGCGACTGGTCTCGTATTAATGATCCTGTTAGATCAACCTCGCTGAAATAAACCATTATTACGACGGTATCGCGGAATTCTTGGTGACATATTACATTCCGACACGTTGTTAACCGATTATTACGACATCGATCTTTCTTTCGTGTTCAGCTGGTTTATGCACATTAATTATCGCGTGGTACACATTGATTCTGAGATATGTACGTTTAACATGATCGTCAAAATGATTTCATTCGGTTGTCCTGAACGTTTACATGGTCTTGAATGAAAATTAGTCTTGAAATAACGAAAAATTGTTATTCAAACTACGTTCCCTTGCTGTCACGAGAAGATTCTAAAATATATAGTGTAAAGAAGTGATTCTTTCTGTCAATCGGAAATAAGAGTTAAATGTTTAATTATTATTCGGTAATGCGATAAATATATCTACCAATATAATTAAACGTACAAAATAGGGTTACTTATATCCTAAATTGGTTTCAGTGTCATTTTGAATGTTACATTTAAAAATGTGACTGTAAAATTGTACTTTACCTATCTTTCTTTTTCATCGCTGATAACGGTGCGACAACTTTCATCGCGATAACATCCGTTAATATTCGCACACATCATATGTAATTACACGAGGATATTTCGAAATTTCATGTTTTAAACGTTTTAACAAATAACTGGGGACGCGATCTACGGCGGGAACGTTATGCCAGTTTGCCTCGTAATTTAGTACCTGGTTAAACGTTATCGTGATTTTAAATGTTCCCGATGTCGCGGCGATAAATCATCGTGTCACGTAAACGCGGGACCGGTATTCAGGTCACAGTCGGATACGCGTTTCGCGACGTAAATTCATTTTGCGATCGAAGCGAACGATTAAAAAAATGAACATTATTCATAAAGGCTTGTAGGTATTCGAAGCAAGACCATTTAAAGGACTTCTTCTTTCTTGGGATTATTATACTCCTCCAAATTCTAAACGAAAATGAACGAAAGACGGTTCGATGTGCAACTTGCACGTTCGAAAGTGCTGCTCTGTCCGCCATTTCGACGGAGTATCCGAGTTGCTTCTAAAGTTTGTATAATTATTCTGAACAATATTCAGTTGTCACCATTTAAGGAATCTATTATACTACATGTAGGTCTTTATTGGATACTGTTTACCTAAAATTAAACTTGAACTACAGAAATGTGTCATTTTACATTTTTAGTCTTCGGACGCCGCTCCCTCCGCCATCTTGAAAACTATTCTACAGTAAAGAAAGAGAAACCTGTTGAAACAGCAATTACTCGCGTCTATTTTTGCAATGGTATACGACATTTTCGAAGATAAGCAGTGCCCAAGACACGATAAAACCGATGATCGGTATGCAGAAGATCAGGTACATCTGATTCAAGTTGATCGTTCGGTAGGAATGTGTGCTAACATTCTTCGAGATATACTTCAACCAGCGTTGTTTTAAAACGTCGATTATGCCAGCTTCGTGTAATCTCAATATTCTGGAGAGGACAGATCTACTTAATGTTAAATCCCTTTTGGAGGTAATTAATTATTAAACAACCCGTAAGATTCACACAGAGATAAGTTTTCGCGCACTTACGACACGTTTATGATATTCTTGTAGGGGAAACGTTTCGGTAAAGCGAATCCTATCCAAATCCTATGGTGGGCATGTTTTATTGGTATTATCCTACAGAAACGATTGTCCCTCACGATGGAGATGTCATCATTTTCCATTAATGCGTATTTCCCTGGGCGGCATATTTCCTTGCGCATCAAGTTCGGGTCGTCCATGAAACGAAAATGTTTCGAGACACTGGGATTCCCGTTGAGCGTCTCTTGTTCAGTGTAATTCTAAAAATTCGTCACACTTTTACCGATACAATTCTCTCCGCTACCCCATTGGAACAATTACGAATCATCGGAATAACGAAGATCGAACGGTAATCTATGCACCTTCAAGAACTCGTACCACATGGATCCGTTTAAAGACAAAATGATATAATCACTTGTGTTCATTAGATCATGCAGGTCGTTAAACGAAGGATGGAAAGTTCGATTCTTCATTCGAATAATAAGGTTCGAACTGAAGTTCAGCAAAATCAGCCACGCGAATATAATCTTCGAGATCGTCAGTATCTTGCTGTGCCTATGAAAAGCGTCCGGTATGTATCCTGCAAGAGACATCAAACTCAAAATCACATTATCTTGTGAATAGAGAAAATACCGTGGAACTGGGTCTGGGTTGCACAATTTAAACCGATAGAAACTAGAAGAATGGGGTTTCAGACAAAACTGATGGATTTTTGTAGGTATTTCACGTGACCTTCATTTTTTCAAAGTAGAACCATCGCATTCTTTTATACAAGAAGTAACCTTGTACGTTACGAATCGCATACATCAGGCCCAGTTTCACGGGATCCTTTTTCGTGGTTCGAATACCTTGGTTACACATCATGGAATAAGTGTAAAAGACATGATCGTTGAAAGTGAAGTGTTCCCGTATTCTTCGAAGTCTCCTTTTCGTTTTCTTGTATTTCCGATGACGCTCGACCTGGAACATGTATCCAGCCACGCTGAGCCCAAGGAACAGAATGACAATGGCAATCCAAGTTTGTGGCGCGAATACTGTGATTATCCACCTGTTGTCCGACTTGTATTCCGGTCGTATGTACGCTTGTAACCTGTCGATGGTGGTTGATCAGCTGCTGGAACTTAAGCTAACAGACTCGAAACACAAGTATGGGGTAGGTGATACTAGCCTGGTTATCCAGAGAGGCATACTATAACCCAACAATTGGGCTCGAGCAGCGTAATATGCTGTACGCATGATCACTTGCGTTTCGTTCCGTTCCAGCAGCCCCATCAGGCCGCTGTAGCTACCATTCTTGAGAATTATACCGAAATCACGTTCTCTGTACTTAATTGGGACCAATCTGAACAAAACAAATTGAACAGATGTTCACGAGAAAGTGTTTGGTAGACCTTTGGGGAAATTTCCGCGGCCTGGACCATTTATATGGATCCTTTATCACCCTCGCGAACTCAAATCGTCAGTTAATATTTTATTCTCCTATTAGGGATTCCTTATTCCTCTATAGGTTGGAAGGCGTAAAATCGAAAACTTAAACGTAATCACTCGAATTGTATTAATATTTTATTGAAAGAGTACGCTAAAATTTTACCCTGAATATGAGAGTCACATGTTCCCGTCGAGGTCCCTATTGAACACATCCCTTATATTGTAGCTGCTTCAAAGATATAGCGTTAGCCGTATACTTGACCGACCCAAAAGTTTATGTGTTTCAGTAGCCTAATCCTGTCACTCGATACCCTTGAGTTTTAAAAACTGTGATCGACCATCATTCACGGGCATACGTCAATTTGGGATCGGTTTTTCCGTTTTAATGTAATTAAACAAGTTCTTATAGTGTACTAATTTCAGATTTGAAATACTTTTGACCCTTTTATTCTTGATGAAAGCTTACGAAAACGTAAATTTCGTTCAAATATTCCAGTCTTTTTCGTTTTATTCCTTAGAACCCCATAGCTGAAAGTCCCCCGATGATCGAGTACTAATGGTTTAAGGGTCGGTCAGGTTTATGATTAACGTTATATCTTCGAAGCAGCTATACTTCTAAATGGGTTTTCAGACAGAAGGAAATAGTCATATAATATACGCACGTGAATTTCAAATGATCTGCGAGAAGATTCCATATGTCCCCACATATTCCAGTCACCTTCGTGTCGTTTTCACGGAACATAACTAAATCCGTCTCCTGTGAATAACGATGGAATGTGTTTTAGTTTCGTGGGAACGATGTTTCAAAATTTACGAGCGATTTATACGGATAGAAGGATCAACGTAAACCTCGTAGTAAGACACTTTTAGAACTTTCCCGGTGATATTTCCCGTCCTCGAGTCACGTCCCCAGGCAGTTGCTCGTTCTACTACATCGTCGAATCGTGACGTATCGCGGAGATCGATGAAATCGTTTCGATCCTTGTCCCAAATCAAAATTTCCACAATTTGACATTCCACTTGTATACAACGAGGAATCACAATGAGTAAGATTACGAGAACCGTGCGCATTGTGGACGATGGAAACGCTCGTTTGTGATCGGTATACGGGGCGTTATAAAGAAATGGGATCGCGTGGCGATCGCAGTTCCTTTTACGAGCACGATCGTTAATAAAGATAGGACACAGGAAAGATACACATTCGAAACTTGTGGTCTAATGGAAATACGGTCTATCGATTGTTCTGCCTGGACACCCAACAGTGTTTTGAAACAGGCGTCTGTCCGCGAAAATTATAAATTGCAATGAATTTATTTCTCAAAAGACATACGAAAATAGAATCTTGTAAGTTCTAAAAAAGAAGTGAAATTAAAGATTGGAAAAAAACTGATAAGGATGCAATACTTTGTTTACCCTGGTTGCTTTCGCAACTTTCCGGAAGTGACCGTCACGGGTGGAACATGTCAAGCTTAATGTAGTGTGAACTACAACAAAGATTTAAATATCTGGAAAATATAGTCACGTGTGAGAAACTGACCTTCGAAGACAAGACTTTTTCGTAGTTAGAACGTCAAATGTGGCAGTACAGTTGTAATCTGCATCTAAACAAGTGTAAAGTGATGAAAGATTGAATATATACCGGGGGAATAATAAAAGCAGTAGACTTATACAAAAAACATGGATCGTTTATAAGGTAAGACGAGCCTTCCAGCGTGGCCGCAAGAGCGTTACGATACAATTAATAATACAGGTACCATGTTGCAGGCTCGTCACCATAAAAAAGTCTCGTTCCAACTTAATCGGTAAATCACTCCCACGAAGTCTCGTTTACATCATTCTCAGGAGCAAACACGCTAGTCGGCACACCTTTAATGTTACAGCCGATGAACCACTCATATCTTCGTTCCCTTTTAATAGAAAATTATAAAAAGTATAATACA